TGGGGTCACCAAAAATCAGACACGGCTGGAATGACTGAATAATAAATGCTTTAAGAACTGATGAACAAGATGAATACAGAAGCATGGAAAGATGTATATGAACTGATGCAAAGTGAAGTGAGCAAAATCAGGAAACCAACACGAACAAGGATATAACAAGGGGTAGAGAAGATAACATTATGGAATATTTTGTTTTGTTTTTCTCAAAAAAAGCAGGCTCTTCAAGAAGCAATAAGAAGCCACAAGGAAATTAAGAGGAGGGGATAAAATCTCATATGAAGTATAAATGCCGTGGATGGACAGGTCAATCAACATGCATTTATTAGACACCTACTATGTGCCAGTCACTCCTGACACACACAAAGAAAAAAACAAAAACAGTCCTGCCCCTCAGCGAGTTTATATTCTGATATTCAAAAATAAGTGCATTCAATGATGTGATCTCCAAGGTCCTTTTTAATTCTAAAACCCTATAAGCCTGGATAATAAACCCTTTTTATCTGAAATGAATTGCTTCCATTTTGGTGCATTTACATAAAACAGCAGAGAAGTGAAATTGGCTTTACCTTTAAAACTATGGATGAGCACATCCAAGAATACCATGATAACACCAGTCCTCCAACAATTTCTAACTATATCTTAGATGGCTCCCTGTCCATTTGTTTTTTGTTTTAAAAGGAAAGAAAACTATCATTCCAAGAAACATATTCTTCCCATATTTGAAAAATCACGCCACATATGTTGTAACTGCTGAGTGGCGCATAGCTCCAAACTTATGTTTAGCCACATTTCCCAAATACTCAGGTTAAGAGAATAGAACGGGGGTGGGGGAAGAATACATATGGTTTTTACTACATTTGTAGAAGATGTTATAAATGAACACATTAGATCTTTTCTAGACTGACATTCTATTCATTTTTCACTACTAGCAACAATAAAGTATGTCATGTTAAAAATATTTTCTCTCAACTCATTATGGAGTGGCAGTGCTGTGCAATGGGATGAAGCTCTACTCTTGGAGACTTTGCTTCCATCCCTGCCTCTAATAGTTATGAGCTATGTGGGCCTGGTTCCATAGCTGTGCCTCACTCACCTTCAGTATACTCCTTCAGAAAGTAGGGGGTGTCATGTCATGGGGTTGTTGTGAGGATCAGGCAACAAAATGGATGGATATAAAGGTGCCTTCCATCTACTCTGTATGGACCTGGTATGTTTGTAGCTATTTATATTCATACTTTCTTCCTCATTAGAATGAAATCTCCTGAAGGGCAGGGGTTATATTTGCTCCTTTTTATTATTTTTTTGTATCCCCAGCATACAATACAGTGACTGACACATAGTAAGCCCTTAATAAATGCTTCTTGACTGACAATGTAAAGAGTTTTGGAAAACTTAATTTGCTATAGAAATATTAGATATTGTTATTGTATTGAACCCCATTTATAATTTTTTAAAAAGCCAAAAAATAATATAGATATGATTCATATTAGATTTTAAATATCATGCAGAAAGTCAGAGGGGATATCAAAACAAAAAAAAATTAGGAGGGAAGGAAGAAATTTAGCTTTTAGGTCAATACACTTTTGCTTATACCCCATACAATGTAGATGCTATTAAACCCCAGAAACTAACATGAAACATCAGTATCTGATTGTCTCACTAAGAGACTTTTATCTTCCATATTACTACTAGAAAAAAATTCCTTGCCTCAATGATTTTGATTTTGACAAAACCACAAGTCTTATTTTAGTGACACCTTTTTCCTTTCCATTTCTGTGGAGATGCTGCCTACAGGCTCATTCCTTCTAGGACAGTAATAACTCCTACTAACATAGCACTTTAAGCTTTACAAAAAAGGTGATTCTCTAGAATACCTCATGTGGTAGGTAGCACAAGCTTTATAATCCGTATTTTAGAGATGAAGAAACTGAGGCTCAGAGAATATCTGATTTACTCCGGGCTGCACTACTACAACAAAAGCAAGATTCAGAAGAAAGGCTCTGGGGCAGTGAGGTGGCACAGTGGTTAGAGCACCGGACCTGGAGTCAGGAGGACCTGAGTTCAACTCTGGCCTCAGACACATATCACTTACTAGCTGTGTGACCCTGGGCAAGTCACTTAGCCCCATTGCATAGCCAAAAAATAAATAAATAAATAAAAAAGAAGAAAGGCTCTACTGATCCCCAGTGCATTCTTTCTACTATATCCCATTACCTTTTATGAAGCACAAAGCAGAAAAGTTAAGAATACCACCTGCCATGTAACATATAGCTCTGATGACTGTTTATTACTCAAGGTATTGATCATAGGGTCCAAAAGGTTTGGGACTTGTAGTGATATTGTGGCTATCTGTACCTATCTGTAAGTCTGACATCTTAAAACAATGACTGTTTGGTCATTTCTGGTAGCAATGACCTGATGTAGTGTTTCTATCTTGAACCCCTCTGTTTCTGTTAGCTAATCCACAGGCCACTTGCTCTAAGTTTCTTTGACAACAAAGAAGAATGCATTTGGAGGAATTCATGTAGATGCTGCCCAATGGAGGATCTTTCAGTTCCATTCTTGGAAATGAATCATTTCTAAGTAAATAATTTAGTGAGGGTGGTGTTGGGAGCTTGGGAAAGTTTCTGTGATAAAGATCTCTTTTCCAAGCTATGTAAGGTATCAGTTCAAATTCATAATAAGAGCCATTCCCCAACTGATAAATGGTCAAAGGCTAGGAAAAGCCAGTCCTTATCAAAAGACATCCAAGCAATCAATAGTCATCTGTATATTTTTCTAATCCTCCAAATTACTAACAATTAGAGAAATGTAAAATAAGTAACTCTGAAATACCATTTCTTACTTCTCAAATTTGCAAAGTTGACAACAGGAGAAAATGGCAAATGTCATAGGAGTGTAGAACTTTTTTAAAGGCACATTAATAGAAAATTTGTGGAGCTGTGAATTGTTCCAGCCATTGCAGAAAGCAACTTGGAATTATACCCTTTAAATCACTAAATGATTCACCTTTGATCCAGTAATAATGCTACTAGTTTTATATACCAAAGAGATCAGCAAAAGAGGAAACACAACCCATATGTATAAAAATGTTTATAGCAGTTTTTTTTATAGTGGCAAAAACTGGAAAGAGTTATGTGCTATCAGTTGGGGATAGCTGGACAAATTATGATATATTGATTTAATACAATACTATTGTGGCATGTTAATGCAATGGAATACAATTTTGGTAGTGAGAAATGATGAGCTGAATTATTTCAAAGAATTCTGGAAATCCTTGCATAAACTGATGCAGAGTGATGTAAGCAGAGCCAAGATAACAGTTTTTACAGTAAGAACCAACACATTGAATTCAACTTTAAAATACTTAAGAATCCTGATCAACCCATTGATCTACCGTGTTTCCAAAGGACTGATACTGAACTATACTCCTATCTCCTGAAAGAGCAAGGAAATGGATTAGATAGGTCCAAGATGAAGAAGGAGATGTATATTTGGGGGTATGGGAATATAGGAATTCGTTTTGCTTGACTTTGAATATTTGTTACAATGGTTTTAACTTTCTTTTTTTAAGTGAATGCGGTGGTAGAAAGAGAAAATAAAAGCTTGCTTATTTCATAAGAATAAAACAACAACAACAAAAAGATTTTAGCCTTTTCAAAGGTTTCATTCGGAGGTAAGTATTTAAAACTCTATCAGTCAGATTTGATAAATTCAATGGTAGTCACCTGTACCATTTAATGTTGTCTGCTTTTACCGTTGCTTTCTAAAATGTAAGCTGTTTGTTCCAGCAGTGTTTTTATAAGTTGTAAGCCTATTTATCATCCAATCTGAGGGTATCTATAAGTTTTCTTTCTCATTTTGGAAAAGGAAGAATTAGTTTTTCCATAGCTACCTTAGGGTGATGGGCCCTTATCAAATGCAATAATATTTGTAAGAAGTGCTTAGCCCAGTGCTGAGCACATAATAGGAAGTATAGAAAGGCTTCATCCCTTTGTCCCTTTCCTATATTGTATTAGCTGTGGTCTAGATATTTTTTGAATTCATTATTATTCATCTTACTGTTCCAAAGGTGAATGTTAGGACTCTAGATTACAAAGGTTGATGGCTCTTAATATGCTGTTCCCGTTGGGATTGGTTTCAGAATGCCAGTAAGTCTCTAAATGCTGGAAGCTATAGCTTTCCACAAGATAACTTTATGATTATTGTGTCTTGCCTGGAGAAGGCAAAGGGATTTATATCACTTTTATCGACTACTTCTGTTTGACTTCTGAATTCAAGTTCAAAGACTTCATTCTCTATTGTCCTTTGACAGAATCCATGAATTTTATACTTATCAAATTATATGACATTTTGATATAATTGGAGGATTCCACTAAATGAAAAAACTGTTCAACATGCTTTTTAGTGAATCCACTTAACTTCAAAGTATTACAAGTACAGCTAGTGGTTGAAACGGAAACCTCGACTTTCTAACTTGAAAGTCACAATCAGTACTATTTAGGCAAAATGATCATGTTTTAATACTGAGTATAAGCATTCTGGGCTTAAATTGCTTCCTGAAAAGATTCTATGTTTTTTATCAATTGTTTTAGACATTATTTTATTGGTAATATGTTTTAAGTAAAGATGTTTTCCATGTGGACATCAAATACTCTGGTCATCTCTGTATACTTATGTCTATTCAAAATATGTATAGGACACATACCTCCAATTGGTTAATCAATGAATAAACCATATTCATAAACTGAGGGCTCTAGTTGATGTATATTTGTGGATTTTGTTTATACTCTTTTTTAGTTGTTTTGTTTTGTTAAAGTTTAGATTTTCTGTGTCAGTGATCACGTACATTCAAAGGAAATTTCTTCATATAAACAACAATGTAACAATGTATGAGTGTGTGTGTGTGTGTGTGTGTGTGTGTGTTCTAAATGAATAGGCTGAAAACATTTTCAGGAATTCTTATAATTCTTATAAATAATTATGAGCTCCACTCTTACCCTAGTGTGGGTCCGGATATGCATCTTCAATCCATCATTTTTGCTAAAAGCTTTATCACAGTAATGACACTGGTATGGGCGCTCACCTGCAAAGGAAAGAAACCAGCTTTAGGAAATAGAATGGGGATACCAAGCAGCTTCACCATTACCCAGCAGTCCACAAGTAGGAGCACAGGAAGCTGCTAGGTCCCTAATACCATGCCACTCTCGGGATAATAGTAATTATAATAATTCTCTCATTCTCTCTCTCTCTCTCTCTCTCTCTCTCTCTCTCTCCCACTCTGTGTGTGCACATATATATATAGATGTATAGATGTATATATATATATACACACATATATATGTATATACCCACACAGAGACACACAGTTTATAAAGTATACATACATATGTGTGTATATTTATAAATATGTATATACATACATATTAATTATGCCTTGAAGAATTGCCAAATACTTTACATACATGTCTTTCTTTGATGTTCAGCTCACTACTGAAATTGTTATTTCTATTTAATAGCTAGGAAACTGAGTCTAAGGAAATGAATGGTCCAAGATCACAAAGCCTTGTCAAATGGGTCTCTTTTCCTTTTTTTTTCTTTCTTTCTTTTTTGAGGCAATGAGATAGTACAAATTTACATACAGTACTGTGCCTGAAGTCAGTAAGACCTAAGTTTAATGAGGATAATATAACAGTACCTACTTTACAGGATTATTGTGAGGATTAAATGAGATATTTCTAAAAAGTACTTAGCACAGTGCCTGGCACATAGCAGGTGTTATATAAATGATTATTCCCTTTCCTTTCCATTTTCCTCTTTTGGGGGGGGGGGAATTGAAAGGGGAGAAAGGAAAAGGATAGGATTAACCCCTTCCAAAAAAGAAAAGACTGATGGGAGGAAGGAATGAAGAAATAAAGGAATAAAGGAAGGAAGAAAAAAAAGAGGGAGGGAAGGAAAATAGATTCAATGAAGCATTTTTTAGTGTAGCTAAAAGTACAGGAAAGAAGACCAGAAGGAATCACAGGGAAGGATAATTTTGTAAATAACATGTTGAATTTAACATAAACAAGCTATAATAGACTTGCAGTTTCATATAAAAACTGCCTTACTGTTTATAAGAAAGTATCCATTTTATTTGGTGTTAAGTTTAGAATAAAAAATAAGGAAATATGTAAATATAAAAATACATGTGTGTGAATATGTAAATATATATGAATATACATACACATGTATATATATATAAACATAGAGTTATCAGAGGTTGTAAAATGAAAGGATTGTTGAGTAACAGTATCTGAACCCAGCTGAACCATAGCTCTAAGACTTATAAGGTGCTTTCTCCCCAATAATTTTATGTACTAGATAATGCAAGTATTATCAAGCCCATTTACAGGAAAGCAAACCAGAGTTTACAAAAGTTAAATGATATGTCCAGGTTACCAGTGCTTTCTAATTTCAAGACCAGTCTTTCTTCCACACTTCACCATGAATACAATGTCAAAGAATAATCCTCATGCAAGCTAGTATTAAACTGGATCTTCAAAACTCTAAATTTACTTTACAACCTGTAGAAAGTTATGGGGGCCTAAAGATCCTAATTCCCAAGGAATCTGGAAAGGTTTGTGCACAGGATCATGACCCTAGAAACATTATATACTATAGTATAGATTGATCCCCACGATAGTATATTCGTTTTTATTCATTTCTGAGAGAATCTAACCTCCCCCCCCCAATTCCTAACCATCCCTCCAAATGGTTCAATGCAGCTTTATTAGCCCAAGATCCTCCTTCCATGTGGTTTTAGTTCCCTTGGTGTCTTTCTAGCTCAGTGATGTAATTCAGTTGATTCTTTCCATTCACAGTCTTGATAGGATATCAGACTGAATTGGACCAATCCAAACCCTCCTATGGTTTGATTGAGATCATATATCTTTTTAATGCAATGAAGGCTCAGTGTGTCCACAGGGGATGCAAGTAGGATTTGGGATAAGAATCCTAAGCTTAAATCAGTTTTCTTTTGCTAAACTTGCTAGAAGCTATGCAAAGAACTAATTGCTGTGCCGCTCGGGAAATGGAAAATGGATCTCATATCCTCATTTGGTCTAAATGTTTTTCCTATACGCTCTGTCATCCAGTGGTATTCCACTGGAAGTCCAGGATGGGTAGGGCAAAAGGAAAAGGTTCCCCTACTCTTACACACACCCCTCGAAATGTATTTTCTCCCTATTTATGTTCAGTAGCCTTTTTATAGAACTTTGTTTCTCTACTGCTATCTTAGTCTAGGGACAAGAACAGACCCACTAAAGAGCTACTTTGAGCAACAGTATATTAAACCATCATCTACTCTACTTGGCCTGGAAGCCAAAACTCATCTTAAAATTGTCACTCAAACAACAAGCAATTACTAAATACTTATTCTGTTCCAGGCATTGTACTAGGCACTGGGGTAACCAAGAAAGGTCAAAGCAGTCTCTGATTTCAAGGAACTCAGCCTTGAATGGGGAGACAACATGGAAATAATACTGATGTCTAAGGACATAAAGATACTTTTTGAAAATGTCATTTAAAAATATTATGTCACTCATCATATCATTACTGTTGTATTTTAGACATCTTCCATTCTTGCTCAAAGACCTTCAGAGGTTCTCTAGTGCCTACTGCATCATATCCAAAACTTCAGCATGGCCTTCAAAGCCCCCTAGAATATAGTCCTAGTCTACCTTTCTCTCTAGCCTCATCTCCTACTACTCTCTTACACACATAGTAGGGCAGCAGCTCTTAAAACATGATCTGGGTATCCCAAGGTTTCTTCAAAACCCTTTCAGGGATTCCAGAAGATCAAAATTCTTTTTATAGTAATATTAGGGCATTTTAATTTCTAACATGGTAAATACTGATAGATACAATCCACATAAACTGAAGGTCTTTGGGGCATGGATCCTCAATACTTTTGGGGTCCTGAGATCCAAAAATTTGAGGACCTCATTGTGAGGGGGAGAGCCAAACTCAAGTCTATTCTGAAATGAATGCACCAATAATCCATTTCCAATATTCATAGGGTCTTGAACAGTTTCTGGGGTTATTTATTTCTCTTCCTTTGTCCTCGTTGTTCCCTTTACCTTCCCCCAAGTATATATGTTGATATCTTACTCTTTTTTTTAATGGCAAATTAAAACACCAACTCGTTTCATAGAGCCTTTCTTAAGTCATACCTCTCCCTGTGCCTTGATAGGATCTGTCCTTTCTCTGAACCTCTGTCATATTTTGTCCATCTCTTATCACACTTATCACATTCTGCCTTGTTATAGTTGTGACCTTGTCTTATTCCCTTCTTTCTGTTCTCTTTAAAAAGGAAGACCTTATTTTCCTACACTGTAGTACAGAGTAGAGCCTTGTAAATACTGAGTGGTACCAAATAAATGTACTGAATTGAGTCAACGGTCTGTAGTTGATTCAATCTGTAGTTGATTCAATCTGTAGTTGATTCAATCTGTAGTTGATTCAATCTATAGTTGAGACCTACCATGCTGTAGGTCTAAAGTTTAGACTGAATCCAAACTTCTCAGAACAAATACCCTTAATAAAAGGATTTGTTCTGTAAAACTCGGACTCAATCAAAAGGCCACCCCCAAGAACTTATAAAGCCACATGTGGTCTTAAGGCCACAGATTCTTCACCCCTGGAAACATACCCATTAATTCAACAAGCGTTTACTAAATACCTGCAATTAGCTCAGTACCAGTGCTAGTTTCTGTGTCAGCTATGAAGGAAACTGACAACTTTGTTGTTTGCCTCAAACTCTGGGATGGTCACCAACTTCCTTCTTTGCTCCCTTCCTTCCTTCCTTCCTTCCTTCCTTCTTTCCTCCCTTCCTTCTTTCTTTATCATACTCTGCTACAACTAACATTAAAAAGAGCTTGTTTTGATAACCATGCTAGATGGCAAAAGGAAACTCATGTGATTTTAAAATTATCACCTCATGTACAACCCAAGCACATATAACCAAAAGCACATAGATTTCATTTGTGAAGACTTCAGTGACACCAGAACAATTATAATTCCTCCTTAAAAATTAAGGATAAATCATACACGTTTCATGACTTAATGTTAGAAAAAATTAGATACATATATTACTTAGATAGATAAAAGTAGAATAAAGAATTAATCATTATAAAATTTCAGATATGACAATAGGGTTGTATACTGTATAGGATTAAATATAGATTCTAGAGGACATAGGTTCAAATCCTGCCTCTCACACTTATTAGTTACATGATCCTAGACCAGTCATTTGATTTCTCTTTCCTTGTCTGTAAAAATGAAGAAATTGGAGTAGTTGAACTATAAATATATGATCCTACTGAACGATCAAGAAAGGATTTTCAATTTTTCTATCCAGTGACATGAATGGTTGCATTCTACAATATGCCAAAATATATTTTCACTTTTCGTTAAATATTTCCCAGTTACACTTAAAAACATTTTAATATTTACTTTTTAAATTTTGATTTCCAAATTCTTTTCCTCTGTCTCAAGAATTCCCCACCCCTTGAGAAGGCAAACAGTTTATTGATTATGTGTGTAAAGTCAAGCAAAATATATTTCCATATTAGCCATACTGCAAAATAAAATACCCAAAATAATAAAAATAGTATGCTTGAATCTGCATTCAGAGTTCATTAGTTCTCTCTCTGGAGGTGGATAGCATTTTTCATCTTGAGTCCTTGGGAATTAACTTGAATCATTGTCTTAATCAGAGTAGCTAAGTCTTTCACAGTTGATCATTCTTACAATATTGGTGTTACTGTGTACAATACTCTCCTGGTTTTGCTCACTTTGCTTTGCATCAGCTCATATAAAATTCCCCTAATCAATAATGATGTAGAGTGTTTTTTCTCACGTGACTACTGATAGCTTTGATTTCTTCTTCTGAAAACTCCCTGTTCATATCCTTTGACCATTTATCAACTGGAGGATGGCTCTTCTATAAATTTGGCTCAGTTCTCTATATATTTGAGAAATAAGGCCTTTATGAGAGAAACTTGCTGCATGTCCAGCACTTAACACAGTGCCTGGTACGTAGTT